ATCACCAAAACTGTGTGTTATATAGTATTCTTCCCTCCTTCTAGCACATTCCTGCAGCATGCAGCTGGAAATTATCAGTACTCTCCCAAAGATATTCTTGTAGGATGCAGCTGGTAATTATCAATACTTTTCCAAAGATATTCCCCCAAGCACAACTCCCTAATTCCAAAGTAGTACATTCTGTAATTAAATGAACACACATATTGCTAATAATTGAGTGAACACACACACCTACTTCTACTAAAATTGAAGGTTATATTCCTTATTAGTATGAAACAGTGCTCATGCTTTAATCTGAGTGAAAGTTGTATTCCTTATAAGTGCATAGAAAATGATGCTGGTGATTCAGTTACAATGTCTATTCCTTATATGTGCATAACAAACGGTGCTGGTGCTTGAGTTGCAATGTCTCACACAACTTAATATCCCACACTATTTATCTCACTGTACAGTAACATGCACGTTTGAAGTCTCTTATACTGAAAGCGCTCCGCTGTGGTCGTGAAGGAAATTTAAACAAGACTCTTATTTTGAAGTTGTAGTGGAACTGAAGAAGAAGAAGAGTTTCCGATGTCAGGCGCGCGAGGTTTGTTTTCGTAGCAGGAGTTAGTTAGCCGAGTGTTTCGAAAAAATCTTAATTGTCTTTTATATTATCTCATAGTTTTATGGTTTGTGTCAACATTTTAGCTGGCGTTTCGTTGCGATATGAAAGTTAACAGTCCCGCATGCTGTCATGGTAAGTTAGAGAAAGTTCAACGCTACATATTGACTTTTTTTGTGAATGAGAAATTGGTGTATTATTTAAACATCGAAGTCAAAATTTGTTAGCGCTGTGAACCAAACACCAGCTAATCTTATTTTCTTCAGTATTCACCGTTAAATTAGCTAACGTGAGCTAATGTAGTTGAGCGGAAGGAGCAGCATGAGTGGACTGGCCATACCCATCGCTAGCTTAAACTGTTTTCTAACTAAGCTTCGTCACTTCAGGTGAGCCGTATAACAAACTGCAGGCATTACACAAGTCACCTGGAATGGATTTGCCCTTCAAAAACATGTACGACACATTCAAAGATGAGATTTGGAAAGGTAAGACAAGAGTTGTATGAAGTTGCAAAAGTCAAATCAATTTTTATTTTGAGTATCAGGACAGTTTTAAGTAATGTCTAGTGCAGTTATAGTGCGTTACTTGTACACTTCGCCACTAAAGTGATTTCGCTGACTCAGTCAGAATAGATATTGAACATTATCTGCACAATAGTTGTATTTGCTCCAGGGCTTACTGTAAAGGTATTTCACTCCTTGTACATCCAGCTGTATAATCACCAAATGACTAATTTTCCAGCCATAAAACATGTACTTTACCTTGGCTTTGGAGTACTTAATACTGGTCTGTAAATCATTTTTTATTTTCAAATTTAGAGCTTGGACCACTGGATCCAGACTGGTTTGATGTTCTGACAGCTCAATCATTCACTAATGAGGGAAGTGTCTCTGACCAAGATGACCTGTGTGCTAACCAAGAGGGGATGTTTAAGACACCTTTTGACAAAACAGCATCAGACAGTCAGTTGTTTTCAACCCCCAGAGTTTTCAGACACAATCGAGTTGTGTCACCTCAAACTGATGACGAGCAGTCGTTCACTATTGAACAAGGTAATATTAGTTTATAGTTTGTTGGTGTACTTTTGCAGTAGCACAAGATACACATGTTTTGCGAATTACATAAACTCATGCTAAACAATAATATGGATGTCTGCATAGGACTTTGTATATTCACTGATCTAAATTGTAGTAACTTACATGTGTTTGCATTGATAAGCTTGAGGTTGTATCTAAAACAGTTCTTCTTTGTGGCACATCAGAAAAAGAAGCATTGCCATGGATAGCAACACAAAGTCCTTGTTGGTTTCGGATGTCAAAAGATAGGTGAGTGCAACAACTTTTAGACTTTGCTGTCTCTGCAGGTGGACAGAGAAATTATTCATGTAACACAATATATATAGAGTAGTTCTTATTTCAATCTTATGAGTAGAAACAAGGTTTATCTTCATTGATTTGTCACTATGTGGGAAGTTTTTATATGTCTTCCATTAAAACTATAGGCATTCTAAAGAGTAAAAGAACAAATACTAATGTATAAATATAGCTAACTCCTGATGGTAAAGAATTGTGCTTTACCATCAGGAGAAACATTTTGTAAGTTGACTAAAATCTATTCCCATATGTTGTTAATGCAGTGTGTATGGATCTAGTTTTCAAGATATATTTGTCAAAGTTACTTGTGTTGTTGCTGCTGTTAGCAATTTTTGATGGCTGTCTTATTTTTGTAGGGTCCCTGGTCAGGACAGCTTTGGTGAGCTGCAAATGTATCTGTATTTTATGTTGAATTACATTTGAAGTAAAGATTTAATCATCACTAGTTAATTTGTTTGCTTTGGTCCTCTGTATAGATTTGCTTGATACCCCTCAAAAGTCCCCAGTAAGTGAAATAAATTTAATAGTGATGTTTTTATTTCAGCAGATTTCAATATTTGAATATGAAGTAATGGATAACATTAAGGCTTCCCCTCTTTATATTGTTTTTGAATGATACAGGTCAGCTATGCCAAGCATATATGTGAAAGTCTGGGTGCACAGATCCATCCTGATGTATCATGGACTAGTTCTCTGAATACCCCACCAGCAGTGCCTTCCACCCTGATTTTATGTAAGCAAAAGACATAATTGGTTGTTATACAAATGTATTTATGTGATTTCTTAAATAATAAATGCGTTTTCTCAATGCTCCAGCTAAAAATGATGACAGTCCCTGCCCAGTGAGTGTTTCTGCAGACAAAAATGTTATTGTGAGTATTCTAACCAGTCAAAACATACATTTACTTCTCTGCTATGGTACAGTCTTACTGAATGTTGAGTCTCCTGCTATACTATATATCCATCTTGCTGTTAGCAGTACAAGAATTTGTTTTGACATATCTAATTTAAAAATGCTCAGCTTACATATTTTTATGGTCTATAAACAACACGACATTGACATTATAAAGGTTTTCACATCTAAAATGTGAATCAGTGAGGAGCTCTAACACTATACCATATATAGGAGTACTTGGGTATGATTTCAAATTGCTCGTGCAACTCATTTGTTTCTCTTACATTTTTCAGTTCGTTCGGAAGCTTTTCCCTTCTCTTTCAAATGCATCTAGAGTTGGGGCACACAAAGACAATGACATGCCTACCCTTAACCAAGGTACAAAGGGTTTTTTTGTTTGCTTTTTACAGTTTGATAATAGGCTATCCAAGGTGGTGCAGTAGCTCTAAATATGGTCAAAATAAGTATGCATCATGACTGATTTACTTATTTTGGGTTGCACAGGCTTTTAGATGATTATTGCAAAATAATGTTGATTGCTCATCTGTCATCAAAGGTGGTGGTTCCCCTGAGGCTGGTCAGAAGTCAGAGCCCTGTGTCTCACCCCAGAGTTCACTGAATGAGAGTGATGGTGTTTGTAGACAGAAGCATCCAGATGCTATTGAGGATGGAGAAATTCAAAGCACAGTACCAAGTGTTCTTGTTGGAGCTGAGAATGTTCTCCCTAAATTGCTCACCAATAGTAGTTCAGCACTGAGAAAAGTCAAAACTGACAGAATCAAGAGGAAACAAATCATCCTGACAAAAGAAGATGGCTGCAGCTCTGTTCAAACCTCAATAACGAGCAATGCTGTGTCCAGTGAACAGATAACAGATGCTCAAGAACCTGTCAAACATTCCTCAACCCCACCTGTGAAAACTGGAGATATTGAAATGACCCAGTGGTCTCCATTGAATTTTTCTGAAATTTCTCCCTATACTGTGGATATTTCTTGTCATGATAGGAGTCCTGCTACACAAGTGGAAAACAGCACTGTAATAGAACAACTGCAGAGTTACTCTGATTCGGGTCAGCAAGTTAGACCACCTTTGACAATTACAGGCTCTGGATTTACTAAGAAAAAAAGAAAGTTTGTTTACACTGTTGAGACTTCAAAAACACAAGTTCAAGAAAAAGAAATACAATCTGAGAAGACAGACTCATCACCAGCAGTTTCAGATTTTGGTGAAACATTTTTTTATTTATATATAAAATGCAATAATACAATTTTTCCACACCATGAGAAAATCCTTTTTTCTATGATGATTGAATTTGTCCTTTTTTTTCCTGCTTTCTTTTAGGAGTGAGTGTCAAGCAGTTGGGAAAAGCCCGAGATGAAGCAGACTGTAGCAGTATTGGGGAGAATGAGATGCAAAAAATCACTGAGGACAATGCGCCTCTTACTGTAGAGGCAAAGGTTCTGGATCTTGACATGTCACAGCTCTGCAGAGATTTTGCCCAAGATTTCAGTCAAATGCCAGACAGCAGTAAACTGAGTAAAGTAGCAGAAGATACTCCTCAAATTGGCTTCTCACCATCAGCTTGTCTGTCAGCCATGAAACGAGCTAGGCAGAAAGCAAGGCCAGCAAACCTTGACCAGGACTGTGATGGCGTCGATAACAGAAGACATGTTTCTACCAATAATCAAAATTATTCCCTTAATGAGGGCACAGTAAGTGACAGTGGATTCCAGTCAGGTGTTGCGGATATCACTCACCTGACCACCACATCGTCGGTTCTCCCCAGTTTGGAGAACAGTGGTCAAAGTCAACAGTGGTCTGGGTTTGAAACTGATATCCACAGGAGTTATTCTTTTCTATCTTCAAATAAAGGAAATGGAAAAGCACATTTGGAAATTTTACAAGAAACTAATGCCAAGTTGCCCTGTGCAGTCAAGGAAAATCAGACTCTGGACCCTGGTGGTGTTGGTGAGTTGCACATAGAAAGCACATCAACTCAGCTACCCAACAGAACAAAAGGAACAGCTGATAGCATTAGTTACATTCCACTCGGTGGTCAAGAAGCAACAACTTCTCTTTCATCTGTCCATGTTTCAGGATTCAAAACAGCATCAAATAAGGATATAGGAATTTCCTTAGCCAGCCTAGACAGAGCCAAGTGTCTCTTTGAGGAGGATGAAACTAAATGGACTTTTCATCATCAGCCCACCAAAACTGCTCATGACACTAATGTTAAAATTAGCGTGGGTCATGGATCAGTGAAAAATGCAAATGGGGATACTAGTTGCCAGTTAACTGCTTCACAAAAAGCTGATGTGACAGAACTGTGCACTCTCTTGGAAGAAGCAGACAGTCAATTTGAATTTACACAGTTTAAATCTGCAAAGTTAAAACAACATTGTCAAGATAATGCCACCACTTTCCAAAGCTTTGACAAAGAACTTGACCCTGATCTTCTTACGGGTATAGATTTTGATGACAGCTTTAGTTCAGATACTGAAAAGCACCTGACGACAACAACAACAACAACAACAGCTGTGATGCCTGACAAAGCAAACTGTGAGACGTCAGAGGGCACATGTAAATCCACATTGCCAAGTGCAATGAAAAAAGAAAATTCATCTACTGAAGATGCGTCTTTGTCTTCAAAGCACATCTCTGAAGACATTAGCAGTATTACGTCAGCTGAACCCAATAGTCTTGACACAGCTGGGTACAATGCAACAAGCAAGCAGGATAACAAAAATCCTTTGGTGCTTGATGTGGGATTTAAAACTGCAGGAGGGAATGTTTTGAAAGTTTCCAAAAAGTGCCTGAGCAGAGCTAGAGCTCTGTTTGCAGATTTTGAGAATTTGACAGATCAGAGATCACCAGACGAGCAAGGCATTGAAATGAATGCTAAAGTCACACAGGGGCAGGTCAAAGGCATTAGAGATACAGATGCTACCCAAGTGGACACAATCGCATGTCAGTGTGGGCTCGGAATGGCCAGTGGGAAAGAGATTTCTGTTTCAGCAAAAGCTATACAGGAGGCAGATGCTTTTGTCAAAGACTGTTCTGTTATGAACAGTAACACTGATATGTCAGCAAGCCACAAAAAGTGTATAGAGCCCTTGCCTGGAAGTGTCACTCATAAGAAATACCTTCCAAAATTTAAAAATGTTCAAGAAACCTTTTCTGAAGAACCCATCAGTGAATTTCAAAATGTAAATGCTGGACCAGCTGCATGCCATTCAAGCGTGCAATGTAATGTGGAAACTCTCAGTTTTGCTTTTAAGAATACACAAGCTATAACGAATGCAGTTTCTTTCTATGAAAACCCGTCTACAACTGTAAAATGTTCTTCTCCCTCATGGACATCATCAAAGAATATTGATTTCTCTGCTGTCAATGAATCGAGCAGTGGAGGTGGATTCTATACAGCCAGTGGGAAGAAAGTATCTGTGTCAGCAGATGCAATGAAGAAAGCAGAGTGCCTTCTGAGTGAAATTCATAGATTTGAGGACACAAACAAACAGCTGAAACAGAAAGGAGATGCTTTAAGCACAGGAAATCTCATCAATCAAGTTCAGGTTGTAACACCTAAAAATGGTGGATTTCAGACAGCCAGTGGCAAAGGAGTTGTCATTTCATCAGCAGCGCTCAAGAAAGCAGAATCATTGTTGAGTGAATGTGATGCTGTTGAGGATAAAACCGGTGTGAAACAGCCATATTCTAAGTTGCTGGTTCCTGGTCCTTCACCCAGAAATAGTGGGTTTCTTGCAGCTAGTGGCAAGCCTATGGCACTTTCAGCTGAGGCCCTACAGAAGGCAAAAGCTCTCTTCAGTGACATCAGTTTCAGTGCAAAGATCCCAGCTGTTTCAGACACAAGGAACTGTGACAAGAAACTAGAAAATGCTGGGAAGATGGACAAAGTACATTGTGGTTTCATGACTGCAGGGGGAGCAGCAGTTCATGTGTCTCAGAAAAATCTGTTGAAAGCAAAGAACCTTTTGAAAGAATTTGATGATGGTTCTATTTCAGCCAAAGCAATACCAGTTGAAGATGCTTTCTTCACACACTGTGACAATATGGACAGTAACAGTGGCACATCACTAAAATATGAGAAGAGTGTAGCACCTTTGAGCCAAAGTGGCAGTGAGAAGAAAAGCCTTTCAAAGTTTGACCCAAGGGTGACAAACACTTCTGGAGATTCTGGAAGTGGATGTTCTGAGTTTGATAATGCAGTTGCAAGCTGTGGAAACATGCAGCTTCAGGATGATGAGATTCACGAATGTGTTTTTAAGAACACACCGCATTCTATTAGTCCAGCTCCTTTACATGGAAACTCATCTTTTGTGGTGAAGACATCCCCATTGTGCACAGCATCAAAGAACATGGTTACCTCTGCTTTCAATGAGTTGAGCAATAATGGTGGGTTCTGTACAGCCAGCGGGAAAAAGGTATTTGTGTCAGATGATGCAATGACAAAAGCAAAGTCTCTACTGAATGAAAGTGCTGAATTGGAGGACACAAACAAACTGAAACAAAATGAAGACACTTTGCCACCACACAGCAGTGGATTTCAGACAGCCAGTGGCAAACGAGTTGCTGTTTCATATGCATCACTAAAGACAGCAAAAACTCTGTTAAGTGAGTGTGAAGGAGTTAATGAAAACATTGGTGTAAAACCAACACATTCCAAGATTCCTGTTCCCAGTTCACCTCCCAGGAATAGTTCAAGCAGTCTCAAATCTGTCGACCAGAGGGCAAACGTCTTCAATGACAGTTTAATTGCGGAAGTTCCAGATATTCCAGACACAATGAAGAGCAATGAACGTGAAGATGCTCTAAATAATACAGAAGAAATATGTAGCGGTTTTACAACTGCAGGAGGAGCAAAAGTTAATGTGTCACAGAAAAACCTTTTGAAAGCTAAAAAGCTTTTGAAAGAATTTGCTGACGGAGACTGCCATGATTCAAATGCATACTCATCAAGCTTACATGATGCCCATAAGTCAGACCAAGCAAAAGTGAAAGATGTGAGAAGAACTTCAGATTCTAATCTCACTACAGCCAGTTACAAAGACATGCCTGTTAATGAAGGTGTCCCTCGGGTAGTTAAGTCTTTTCTCTCTTTGCAAGAGGCTGACAATGAAAATGAAATTCAAACTTCAGGTGTAAATTGTTGCATTTCTATTCAAGACAAGGCATCAATAGATGCACATAAGTTTAAAAAGGGCAAAACAGACACTTCAGGGGTGGACAACAACCATGACCTTGTGGGAGAGGAAATGGCAACTGTGTTGGACTGTGACCTAAATCAAACACACAGGGATGAGAGACTTAAGTTCAAAAGGACAGAACAGTCTTCAGATCTAGTATTTCAGTCGCTAAACCTGAGTGGCTGTACTGAGACTCAACAGATGTTTCTTGCCCAGGAAGCTTTTGACTGCACTAAAGCTTTGTTAGAAGATGAAGGGCTAGCTGGCCAAAGTTTCTCAATGCCTTTAGAAAATGTGCCACCGGAAGATAACCAAAAATCTGGGAATAGATTTGTAAAGGAACAAAAAGGAAGTGGGAAAAGATCAGTAGAGGATGCAGATGTGACTGGTAAGTGTCTTGCTCAAAAAGTTCAATATAATATGTTTTAATTCTTATTGAAATTGGACAGTCATTTTATTGCAACTTAGGTCAAAGACTTGACTATACTCATGGAATTTAAAAATGCACCACCTTTCTTTAATTTGGCAAATGTGTGTGGTGCTTTTTTTTTATATTCCAAGAGTATACCTGAGTTTCTATTCTAAGTTATTACACATGGAACATTATTTTCAGTATTAATTAAATCACTTGATTATTACAAGCATTAACCACAAATAGTTGCAATTCTGTTCTGAAATATTTTAGGTCAGCCTCCCCTGAAAAGACGGTTACTGGAAGAATTCGATAGGACAGTTGAGGGTCCAAGAGGTTCAACACTCCATCCGGAAATAAGCAGTCCAGATGGTAAATGACCAGCACTGCCACAAATGACCTAAACAATACATATTTGTCTTATCACAAATAACTCTTAACGTGTGTGTGTGTGGTTTTTTGTTTTGTTTTGTTTGTTTATTCATTAAGGTGTAATGAAAGACAGAATTTTCAAGTACAGTGTCTCTCTTCAACCAAACATCACAAGGCCACACGTGTAAGTTGCCTATGAGTTGTCGCCTATGTTTTTAAGGGTCTGACACTATTTCTCAGCTCTTTGTTTTGTATTTTTGGTTACACAGAAATGGGAAAAACTATGTGGAAACCAGACTGCCAACACAACACTCAACGCCAGGAGACAGCAGATCAGCACATTCGAAGATGCCAGTATTTGTTTCTCCATTCCACAAGAATGTGAAGACAGAGACCCCCAAGAACACAGTTCTCAGAGACAACACAAGAACACAATCTGCATTTATTCCTCCATTCAAAAAACAAAGAACTATTGTTCAGGAGAGTTATTCTAAAAAACAGGAGGAGGATAAACACCACCACGTACCCTCTAACAGCAACACTTACGTACCGCCCACTAAAAAAACACAAAGCAGTGCAGATGTAGCTGGTAATAATAGCAAATTAGACATTCAGCCAGTAGCTTTGGGTCACCCTAAAAATGATAATCCGACAAACAATCAAAATGTTCCTGTTGGCTGTGGATCTGAGGTTTCTGTTGCAGAGCCATCACATGTGGAGAACACTTTGTCCAGAAGCCAAGGTGCAGAAATATTTTTAGATGAAGTCTGTATGATATACTCTGCTTAACACAGGAAAAATAATGATGTGTTTATGGTTTACAGAGATGTTTCACAATCTTGAGAACCTAGAACTGGCACGAGATATGCAGGATATGAGAATCAGGAAAAAGAAGCGCCAAACCATTCGTCCTTTGCCCGGCAGTTTGTTTCTAACCAAAACCTCAGGGGTTGTAAGGATCTCATTAAAAGCTGCAGTTGCTGAAAAGCCTCCTGCTAAATACACCCAAAAACAGGCAAGGCCAGAACTGTTACTAGGCTTCAAAGCATATTTTGCATTTGTTTAAATAGTAGCTGCATTATGTAAACAATGTTTAGCATCTTGTTGGTCTTGTTTTTCAGCTGTATGCATTTGGGGTGCTTCAGCATGTGTCTGAGATCACCAGCGAGACTGCAGAATCCTTTCGCTTCAATTTACAACAGTTCTTCAAACAGGAAGTATTTATGAACAGTGGTGGTGTTCAAGTTGCTGATGGAGGATGGCTGATCTCCAGAAATGATGGAACTGCAGGGAAGGAAGAATTCTATAGGTGTTTTTTAATTTTTAGTTGAGTTTATATCACACTTTGTAACAATGACTGTATTATACTTTTTTTAGAAACCAGGTCTATCTTTGTGGGTGCAAATGCAGGCTGATAATACTCAAAATCATCTTAATCTCCACTGTCCACAGAGCATTATGTGACACCCCAGGTGTGGATCCTAAACTGATCAGTGAGGAGTGGGTATACAATCATTACAGATGGATTGTGTGGAAACAGGCCTCCATAGAAAGATCTTTTCCAGAACAAATGGGCAGCCGCTGTCTCACCCCAGAGCAGGTTCTCCTACAACTTAAGTACAGGTTTGTAGTATCTGGGGAAAAAAAATTGAAAATTGCTTATCATAAACCCCTACAGCCCAAGGTGATGTATTCAAATGACTTTATGTATAACATATTCAGTTTACTGTTACATTAATACAGAGAAAGACATCAAATTTGTACAGCTGAGAACCTGGATTCATTTATTTAGCCACTTTTTTTTTTGTTAAATTGTATATACAGAAGTAAATTATTTTAAATATGTAGTTTGTACTTATTTTTATACATATATTTTGACTAATTGATCATGTACAACAGAACAGTACTGATTTTAAAGTTTTATTTTGTTGATTAATACATTTTTATTTTAATTCACTGTTGATGAAATATTTTTCTCAAGCATTTATTTTATTTTAAATGTTTTAGATATGATGTAGAGGTGGACCACAGCCGTAGGCCAGCACTGAGAAAGATCATGGAAAAGGACGACACAGCAGCCAAAACCCTGGTTCTCTGTGTTTGCGGGGTCGTCTCCAGGGGTCACTTCCCAAACAGACAGAGTCGTGGTGACACCAAGACTCTAGGGGGTGCTGATGCCAGGGGTGAAAACCCATTTGCAGTTGTTTGGCTGACAGATGGATGGTATGCCATTAAAGCCCAGTTAGATGAACCTTTGACCGCCATGCTTCACAAAGGTCAACTAGTTGTTGGTGGGAAGCTGATCATCCATGGGGCTCAGCTGGTGGGATCACAAGATGCTTGCTCCCCTCTTGAGGCACCTGAATCACTCATGTTAAAGGTAGTTTAAAAGAAAGGCCACAGGTTGTTCATCAAACTTGATGATGACATATTGACTCTGTGATTGTGTTTTTAGATTTGTGCCAATAGCAGCAGACCTGCACGATGGGATACTAAGCTCGGATTTCACAGAGATCCCCGGCCATTTTTTTTTTGTACAGCAATGGTGGGCCAGTAGGATGTGTGGACATTATTATACTCAGAAGCTACCCCATACAGGTATGTTTTGTCCTGCATTGAAATGTTGCTGTTGTTACTCCTGGAAGTTCATGTTATGATCCCTTTGGTCTGTATGCGTTTTTATATTTTTCAGTGGATGGAGAGGAAACCAGATAGAGGCGTTGTGTTCCGTTCTGTTCGTGCAGAAGAGAAGGAGGAGAGACGATACAGCAGCCTCAAACAGAAAGCCAATGAGATCCTTTTTGCCAAGATTCAAGCTGAATTTGAACAGAAGGAGAAAAGTAGGAATCATGTCAAACAGGTATAGATTGAAATTAAATAAGTTTTAACAAGTTATCTGTCATCTTCAGGCAGTAACAGACCCCAACGCAGAAGACGGACAATAAGTCATCAGGATATTGCGAGTCTGCAAGATGGAGAGGAGCTGTATGAAGCAGTGGGGGATGACCCAACTTACTTTGAGGTGATACGAAATTTACATTACAGTTTCTTGACTTAATTGCTCTTATGAAGAGTTTCAGTTGCAAATCTGCTTTACTGCTGTGGCCTAGGCTCATTTGAGTGAACAACAATTGGAGACTCTACATACCTACAGGCGCGCTCTGATGGAGAAGAAGCAGTCTGAACTGCAGGATCAGTACCGTCGTGCTCTAGAAGCAGAGGACAATGAAGGCAGTTTTCCAAAAAGAGATGTTACCCCTGTGTGGAGACTCTGCATTGCTGACTCTATGGAACAATCTGGCCGTGGTGTGCATTTATTTCATCTCTATTTTGAGTAATTAGTTTCAACTTGTGTGCTGTATTATTGTGTGTTCACTCACTGGTTTTAACTTTTTTTTTCTTTGGTTTTAGTTTACCAGTTGAATCTTTGGCGGCCTTCCTCAGATCTTCAGACTTTACTGAAAGAAGGTTGTCGATACAAAGTCTATAACCTCACCACTTCAGATGGAAAGAAACACAGTGGTGTTGAAAATGTTCAGCTTACTGGAACAAAAAAAACACAGTTTCAGGACCTACAGGTATTGCAGGAAGTAAACTGTCTTTAGCACACGTAGTGGACATAATGGATTATTTTTACAATAAATTTTAATTAGACTAAAATATATTATTTGTTTTGTCATTCAGGTTTCCCAGGAATGGTTGTCTTTGCGTTTTCAGCCAAGGATCTCAGCAGATTTTGAGGATCTTCAAAACCCAGAATTCCAGTCACTGTGTGGAGAGGTTGATCTCACAGGATATGTCATCAGTATTGTAGATGGACAGGGTGGGTGCTTTTTTTTTTCTCTTTCTTAACTGTCTCTGCCACAACTGTTTTGTTCACTAAATAATTGTACTTTGATCATAGGTTCCTCTCCTGCATTTTATTTGGCCGACGGGAAGCTGAACTTTATCAAAGTGCGCTGTTTCAGCAGTTTGTCTCAGTCTGGCCTGGAAGATGTTGTAAAACCACGTGTGCTGTTGGCTCTGAGCAACCTGCAGCTGAGAGGTCAATCGACATCTCCCACGCCTGTTGTGTATGCTGGAGATCTGACCGTCTTTTCTACAAACTCCAAGGAAGGTCATCTACAGGAATCACTCAGCCAACTCAGGAACATTGTCCAGGTACATCATGAAAATCCAAAGTCTGTGAAGCTATTTGACAAGACTCAAAACACTGTCTGCATTTAAAGATACCTTGTTTGTCAAAAGCTGGATGCTTTCACAGCCACACATATTTTGATGAAATCAGCTTGAAATGTATAAACTATCATTTCTTTGAGGTACAGGAGAAGATTATGATAGATGAAACTGGAAGTGCTGGATATCAGTAATGTTTTTGAAATTGAAGTAATTATCGTCAGACTCTCTGAGGTACTTTTCCAGAGGTTGTTCTGAACACCACTGCAAATGAATTGGCTGAAAATGTGGTGAAATAAGTCTATGCAGTCTCATATTAACCTCCAACAAGTATTTTATACCTTGTATATCTTGACACTGGAAAAGAAGCAAACTCTGAGAAGCATTCTGTCAAGTACAGATGCAAACTGTGCATACAGACAGGAGACGTACTACAGTGGTTAGGTGTAGTGCTGAAGTATGTAAATAGATTAATGATCAGATCTTGGAATACTTGTTTAAAGGGTTTACTGGTCACTGACCTGAACCATATGTAATGGGAAACTTTTTAAATTTTTCTCTGCTCCACCTTTTTGGTTTGGGCACAGTAAAATGTTAAAATGTCATAACTAAAAGTTATGTTCCTTTCAGGGCCAGGACAACTTTTATCGAACTGCTGAGGAGAAACTTTCACATTTAGTCAATTCTAATGGCCCGAGCTCCATCTCCTCTCCAGCTCTGCAGCCACGAACCTCAGTTTATACAGCAGAAAGACGACAAAACACAAGGACAAGTGTGAGTTCATGTGCTTGCTGTGGAATCTGGTGCTGTTTAATACATTATGCTGTCATAACCATTTTGTATTGATTTAAAAAAACAAAATTCTGTTCCTCTACACAGGGTGTATCTCAGCAGTCAGTAAGAAGCCTGGGGTCCTTCACACCAGTCAGTAGAAACCCTCCTGCAGGAACCTCCCCAACAGAGAAGGAGCCCAGAAGCCTGAAGAGGAAGAGAGCTCTGGACTACTTGTCTCGTATCCCGTCTCCACCAGCTCTCTCCCATCTGGGCTCACTGGCTTCACCATGTGTAAATAAGATGTTCAACCCTCCTCGGAGGTCTGGGACAGATAGCACTGTACAGACTAGAGTTCATAAACCTGTCGGTTCACCAGTGGAGGATGAGTGGGTGAATGATGAAGAACTAGCAATGATTGATACTCAGGCATTGTGTAATGGTGATGTACTGTAGATACATAAGACTGTGATGATCAGCATGCTATAACTTTAAAAAAAATGCACAAATGAGTGAATGTAAAGAGGTGTTGATTCTGTTGTTTTTGTGTTCTCACTGGATTTATTAAAATGGTGAAAGCACCTCACACCAGTAAAATCATGTCATTACACTAATTTACCATCTCACCTTCCATTTTTAAAATTAAGTTAAACACACTTTTGGAATGGCAGTCTTGCTCCTGAGTTTCTTATTTGTGCTATGTTTGAGAACATGTAACCTGTGTAGTTTGCAACATATTACACACACAGTAGGCAAATATGTTTTCTTGGCATTATTTGTAATGCATCCCCACTTTACCTTTGGTGCCTAAAACCTTTGCACAGTACTGTCCATGAAAGAATTAAAAACACCTCTCAATATAATGCAGCCCAGTACAGTACATTCACTATGGCCTTAGTGCTAAAACACACCATATAATTAATATGTATAATAATTAACGCCCTTCGACCCATCAAAAGCAGTTTAGGGGTCCATCAGAAAGCGGTAAACATCTTGTAAGTATTTTTTGTCAATGACATACAGTACGCTATATACAGCCTATGGTCATGACCTAATACTGTGTCCCGCTGGAGGCGCGAACGCACTCATTGGCTTGTTCGTCTGCCGTCATTGGGGAAGACGAAGAAGAAATGTCATTTCCGTAAACACTGCACTTGTGATATTGAAATTGTCTGCTGGCGGTTTGAGATTAATGTAGTTTTTATACCTACTATCTATGCCTCCTGAGTATAAACGGTAAGCATTCATGAATAACGACATTTATGTTAAGATAGTAAGTTATTGGTCGTAACAGCTGTTTTTCAGCATCTTGTTAAGACGTGTGATGACATTTAGCTTAGCTAACAGTTGGGCTTGCTTTCGGTTTTTGCTTCAGTTTATTGAAAGTATGACCTGTTCTGAACACAGATTATACAACAAACTGTTATCTATTAAGTGCAGGCATACCAACTGACTTAACTAACTAGTAAACATATATACACGACACCAAAATCTAATAATATCACTAAATGTGAACAGAATATGTGAGCGGAAGCTATGGCTGAAAAATTGGCACACAATAATGTTTTGGGATTTTGGAATGAGGTGAGGGCTCTGAATAGGGTTAATTCACCACTGCCCAGTGCCATAGAGGGAGTATCTGGGGCTGATAATATTGCTGATCTGTGGAGAGAACACTATTCTGCATTGTTTAATTGTGTTAAAAGTGATCCCTATGTAGTGGGAAGCATTGCTAGTGAGGATGCTGTGGTGATCACTTCTAGTGAGGTGCATCGAGCAATAATG